CGTCTGTGAGAGTGGAGTTGCTGGATGAAAAATAACTTATCGCCCACAAGGACGCGCAGACGCTTTTGAACTCTATCGAGACAGGGAAGTGAGGACTGGGCAGCTCCTGTTCAAGTATGACAACAGTACTTCATTTTCGGCCTGATCTGGCTCTTGTAAAGGTAGAGGATAGCACGATGATTCGGGTACTTACTGGGGTGGTACAGGGAACCGACTGTTTTTCTTTAGCGAAAGACCGAATGTACAAATTCAGCTTGAGGTCTTGGTTGAGTTTGAGGCCCAATAGTCGTTCAAGACACGAAGCTTCCACGAGGGAATATTCACCCATCAAAACTGGTGGTAGTTCAGGGTCCCATTAGCGATGATGGAATGTCACTAGTATGGTTTTCGAGGCATTGAATATAACCACCCAGACACTCAAACCTTTGATGTTAGATCGAGAGGAGAGATCAGTTACCAATCTCTGGTCATCTAGAGTTTTGGGGAGGTGCACCTATGTACTATTGTCTCATCAGCATAGATATTCACAAATGATAGGACTATACTTTTAGGCAGATCATTTATATAAAGTAAAAAGAGGTTTGGTTCGAGAAGCGACTACTGGGGGACGCCTACGTTGATTGCTAGGGCCCGGGAAGGCTGGCCCTTAATAATTACCTTCAGTGAACTACCTGTTAGTAAGAACTTCATTATGAAGAGTCTTCCAGTAATTCCATAGCTATATTGCTTTAGCAGCAATCCTTCGTGCCACACCTTGTTAAAGGCCTTTGAAATATCTAAAGCTATGAGACGTATTTGTACCTCATCGATTTTGTGAGAAATGGTAGTTAAGACATCAGCAGTGAATCGGGCCGATTGAAGCCAGTACTGCTTGCCGCTAAAGAACTTGTTCCTAATTAGGTTATCAACAATCTTCTACACACTACACCGCTCCTTGCGATAGATATGGAAGTAGTGATTACGGTGATCTATGGCTGCAGTGTATTCAAGGGTGTACCAGGGCTGGCTGTTAGGTTTTTGTTGAAATTTCATTTTGGTATAAAACTCTCCATTCCAGAAAGGCTCGATTCTGAGACGAGAGCATTAGTTTTGGAGCCATCATATTTGAAGAAGGTTGAGAGAGGAGCTTCCACCATGTAGGGTATAAAAATGTCATGGTTTGCTTCCCGGTATCGAAAAATCATTCTATGGAACGGCAAATCAATGGATGTCTTTGGTTTGACATCAGATTAGGGAATGGTCAGACGTATCAGGAACGCAGATGGGTTTTTCAATGTTTTGAGCTTGTTTATAGGCGATGTAGAAGTTTCTGCAGTATCTGCAGTTTCTTCGAGTAGACTAACCTCTATATTCAGTGAGAATATTATCCATTCAGATGATGGCATGTAACTCGTTTGGTTTTTAAGGCATTGACTGTAACCAACCAGTTGTTCCTCCACTAAGATCAGAGGAGAGATTAGTTGCCAATATCTGGTCATCTAGAGTCTTGCGGTTGCACCTATATACCATTGTTTCATCAGTATAGTTATTCACAAATGATCGGAGTATCCTCTTAGGCAGATCATTTAGTAAAAAGAGGTTTTGTTCGAGAAGCGACTACTGGAGGACGCCTACGTTGATTGCTAGGGCCCGGGAAGACTGGCCCTTAATAATTACTATCCGTTAGGAAGTACTTTATTATGAAGAGTCTTCCAGTAATTCCATTGCTTTACATTATTTACATTATTCGGACTATTGTCCTCATCTTTGTCGCCATATTTATTACAACGTTTCGACCGTTGTGCGCTCCGGCCTTCTTCAGGTGGTTGGAATGTCGAACTGAACCCTTTATTTCGCTCACTGAGGTAGACTGTTCTAGTTCTACGTGTCATGTTTAATGGATGTCAGTTATCAGTTATCTCCTGTTAATTTTCCCTCTGAAAGTTCTCCACTGCCTTAACCGGGTATTGAACTCACATTCTTTGGGTCCTGTCACTGGATCTAACCAACGCCTCAGATACAGCGGATATCATGGGTTGTCAACTTTGATGGAGCGAAGAATTACCTCATCTCAGAATGGATTCTGTGTCCTTGAAGACATCTGTGTATGAATTTCTGGGTATTATAAACCTAACGTCTTCAACAACCATTTTTACCAGTGCTCATATTGCATATTTAGCCGCAATCCTTCGGGCCACACCTTCTCAAATCCCTTTGGAATATCTAATGATCCTTAGAGTGTATTCGTTGTCTAATGCCTCACTGATTTTGCGATTAATGGTTGTTAATACATCAACAGTGAATCGGATCAAATCGAAACCTGAAGTTCTTGTTGCTGGAAGAGCTTATTCTTATTTCGGTGATTAACAACCTTCTTATTGATTATAGCCTCAAAAAGCTTACCAATGACACTAAGGAGTTTGATAGAGACGGTGGGATTTGAGCGCTCCTCAGCTTTCTTGATAACCGGGAATACGCTCGACACCTTCCAAAGACTTTGGAAGTAGCGGCGAAATAATTTCGCTAAGATTGGGCGGGGGGAGTTCCGGATTGATATTCTTAAGAACAACCACTGAGATTTCGTCTGGACCAGTGGTTTTCTTTTGAGAAGTCTTGAGATTTCCGGGCTGTAATAAAAATACTACTGGCATTTTGCTTAGTGAGTCGGGAAGCAGTGCCCAATGTCTTCTAATAGAGGCAAAGATTTAGGCGAAGAGCTTTGCCTTATGTGACGAGGGAGATATGACCTCGTGGCCATTCATAATATTTGGCATAGCCGCTTTGCCTCTATTCATAATCTGGCTGGTGACCTTCCAGAACTCCCGGAATCCAATTTTGGCCAGGACCACTAGTTCATAGCTACACTTTGCATTCGAACTTTCTTGCAACGATTGAGAGCGGTTCTGAATGCAGTAAGAGTCAAGCTACACCGCTCCTCGTGATATATATTGTATTAGGTTGGTGCAAAAATAATGACGTAATAATGTCGTTTTTGACGTTAAAAAATACGTCAAAAAAACGACATTATTACGTCATTATTTTTGCACCAACCTAATAGTAATAGTTGCGGTGAGCTCTGGCTGCAGCACATTCAGGGGTTAACTAGGGCTGGTTGTTCGCTTTGTAATGGATTTTCTTTTGGTGGAGGGTATAAAATTCTCCATACCAGAAAGAATCCATTCTGAGATGAGGTAATTCTTCGCTCCATCAAAGTTGACAACCCATGATATCCGCTGTATCTGAGGCCCGACAACTTCTAAAACAAGAACGAGTTTAGCCAGAAATAACGCTTTTCTGAAGAAAAGTAAACAATCAAATATAGCTGCATTCCAATAGCTTCAGACCCGTACATCTTTTCAAGATTTTATCCTCGATTTAATTCTCACGTACGCAATTTCCTATTTTGTCAAATTCGATCGGGGTTCAATTTCTCTGAACCGTATTTTACAGCATTAAAATCACCATTTTATTTTTTTCTTCAGTTCATTATTTGCTACTTTCATGGATGTTCTCATTAATAGCTTCCTTTCCTGAAAGCTACCTAAAGTGTATGCCATACCACGTAAAGTGATCGTAACTCTATTTACTGTATTTACACTGTTTTCGGTGTTCCTGAGATGTCAATCATATTCAGCTATATCGAATTGAACCCGTTAAGAGGTTAGGGTTTTCCTCATGAATGAAAACATGAAACTTAACATACTTATTCATAAATTGTTCCCTTTAACAATTCTGAAACATTAACAAATGTGACACATACCAGGCAGAGTCGAGCAATTGGAATATTTTGAAAAAAAAACAACTGATATCGTATAACCGAAATAGAAGGGAAAAAAACAAGGAAATCGCATGTTTCTTTTGGATTAATCTCGACATGTGTGACATGTACGTTGAAGGGACGCGAAGATTTTCCGAAATCATTTATTGATTGCACAATATGGTAACATTGATAAAATCCAACTATCGCGAAACAAAACCATTCGTTTAAGTTTAATTTTCCCCTTATTTTGGCCTGACCAAGGCCGAATAAGACACTAGAGTGAATTGGATTGAATTGTGTGGTTGGTAAAGAATTTCCAAGGATAACTTTGAATTCAAAATTATGGAAAAGGCAGTGATAAATCACTGCACTATCTTTCCCAAGAACAAACATTGCAATTCACCATTTAGAGAAAAAAGTGTTGTGGAGAGCCACGGTCACTGACATCCTGAAAGGATATAACACTTAAAGAAAGAAAAAAAGGCAGAGATTCAGATTTTCTACTGTTCTTGATTTCAAGATAAGTGCCTATCGACAGCTCTCGAATTTGAAATATTATCCATAATCTAAAAAAGTTTAAGTCATGAATAATTTCCGCTTTTGTATATCAATTTTAATCTTCAAAAAATAAAGCAGAATTACAATCTAAAAAATTCTATATTCACCATTATTTTTATTTGTAATGACTCCTTATCATTTATCAGAAAAGGGCATCGATCCCTTTTGAGCAAAATTCCGTAGGTTTTGATGTGAAAACGTTTTCAACGAACTCTTGAATCTGGTTTTCATTAGAGAAAGTTTTCGCCATCAAAGTGTTTTGCAGCCATCGAAAAAGATTAATCATCGATTAGTGCAAGGTCAGGTGAATATGATAAATGAAGTTAGAATAGACCAACCAAATTCCAGTTTTTTTCGTCTGTTGTTCTTGCGTTATCATGGAGGAACACGATATTTTTTCGATTGATGAGCGCAGGGCGCGTGTCGACCGAACTTTTATAGTGGGGTTTGCAGCGGCTGGGTGTATAAATAGGTACTTAGTGGTTCACTTTGTTTTAAGAACTCTAAATGAAAAATACACCGATAATCCAACTACACCCTACTCATATTTCTTACAACGGAAAGATATTCTCTGGAAGACAGGCCCTTATGAATCAAGCTTCTCGAATTCGTATTCGTAGTGATAATGCTGAGTTCATACGTTTCATACAGTAAATATTCAGTATTCATTGACCGACCAGTTATCGTTCATGTCAGATGAAATTTATATAGATAGATAGATAGATAGATAGATAGATAGATAGATAGATAGATAGATAGATAAACCTAGTGAGCCAGAGAAACCTAACTAGGTTTCATCTAAACGGATCGTCAGGGAAAGGTGAAACTTAGGTAGGTTTGTCTGGCTCACTAGGTTTATCTAGGTCTGCTCTACGGTTGTATTGAGCTCTTTTGTTAGTTAGTTGTTTACTCGTATCGGGGTTTTTTCTTTGGGCTTCAAACCTGCATCTGTGCGATTTTTTTTTTTTTCGAGAGAGACTTTCATGTTTGTAGCTCTTTCTTTTTTTTAAAACCTTTTTTTTCCCTCGAGATTGATTTGATTATTGGCAAATCAAAAAAATTCGAGGGTTTTTCGAAAAAAGTATAGTTATCTATCTCTCTCTCTCTCTCTCTCTCTCTCTCTCTCTATATATATATATATATATATATATATATATATATATATATATATATATATAATTAAATTTCTCAAGTCCATTAACTGTTTTAGTTCTTTATTGTGCTGATGAGAGTTTCTTTCCTAATCTATTGTTTTTTGTTAGTGTAGAAAGTCATCATCTTGATTATATCATTATTTTCTCATCTGGTTACATGTGCTACCCAACATCTGCTGGGTATTTTCAACTGTTGTCATTTCGTTTGTTTGTTATTTCATAAAGCTCGTTGTTCATGATTTTGCTGCATCACTCTATAGGATTTTAAAAGATTCATTCGCTTGAAGCCATTTTGAATCATTGATCTGAGAAAACGGTTGTCTAAAATAGGAACCAGACATTGATAAAATTGATATAAAATTAGCGAAATGAGAAAACGTTTTCCACAAATCAATAAAAACAATGCACGCTGCCATTTCTCTAATCACATACTGTTGACTCTAATCTGGCCCTGAAAATTCTACGGCTTTCATAATAAGCAACACTTTATCTACCCAAAAGTAGTTCAGCGTACACACAATGATTATCTGAAGAGTCGATTGTGTAGCCATGATGTAACTTAGCACTCAATCAAAGGGCTTTACTACGCATGTATGAACACTCTTGTGTGGGTTTATTTAGCCGGAAGTGGGACGCCATTGAGAGAGCATGTTTATTAGATTCATCAACTCTCATGAATTTTTTTTTTTTTTTTTTTTTTTTGCAACACATCAAATCATCCTGATCTGGAGGCAAGACTACAATTTAAATTTCTGTTCCCTATATCTTGTTTTTCGAAAAACTGCCATTGAAATGGTGCGAACGAGATTAAGGAGATCGAAACGATGAACTTCATGGCGATGTCGGAAGATGGACTGCTTTTAAAACAAGTGTACTTGATGTAGGAGGTCTCATAGCGAGTGCTCAGAAGTGGATCAAGGCTATATTGTCTTAAATAGGTTATTTGGTTATTATTAAAATGCAGCTTTCTGCATAGACTTTTCAAATCCTACCGAATAACCGCTAACAGTGATGGGATATTTTTAAAGAGGCAAATGAAAAATGTTACTTTAAATTTATATCAAGAATATCTTGTTTATTGTGTGATAACCCAATGCCTACTAAAGTACCACAATAAGAATACGAGATGAGGTAAAATCTGTTCCGTTAATTTTCCCAGTGGAGTTTGTGTTCAAACCGGTACACAGTGTCACTTATCACGAATTCATTTATATCACAGGTTTACTGTATAACAAAATAATAGAAAAGGAATAACAACAACGAATTATTGGTTATTTTATTTTATTGTATATATATATATATATATATATATATATATATATATATATATCTCGCTCTTTCTCACACACACTCTCTCTCTCTTTCATTCATTCTTTTACATTCTTATGCGTGTAAAAATATAATTAATAACAAAATTTTAACATCCCTTACTTTATAAATGACATGGATTTTGAGCTGTTTATAAAATAAAATATTGAAAAAGATATTTAAAATAAGATCGTAGTAGCAGTATTCACTCAATGTTTGATGATATCATGACAGCTCCAATTAAACAGAAGTCTTTAGGCATTTTGTGTCCACCACACACAAAGAATCAACCACACCAAAAGGAATTTCAATAATAATAATAATAATAATAATAATAATAATAATAATAATAATACTGGTCTCTCTAACCTTGGGTGCCAGCCAGGAAAAAGGAAAACTCTGAATTCAAATCGGTTGGGAGTACACATGCCGTAAAGTGCAAGATATTCCTTGCATCAAACCTTGGTCTGGCAATTGATACTCTACCGGCTATGCTGGACCCACTTTGCTGCCGGATCCTGGAGGGCATGTTGAGAGGGGGAGTTTGTATCTATGATGCAAACCCCTTCCTCACCTAAAAAAAAAGAACTCATTCACGCACACGCCGTTCCTTGAAAGGAACCATCGTAATCTCTTCGGATGAAAAGCGATGAATAGTAATAATAATAATGGTGATGGTTATGAGAATGATAATCATCATGATTATACAAAACGAGAAAGCGATTTAAAAGTGTTAAAATTGAACTGCAAAGTGAAAAAAGAAAACACTTTCAAGAACACTAAACAATATAATGATTTGTGTAAGTCGAAACATTAGTATACCGAACCAGTTAAATGTCATATGTTTGTGGAATAAAAAAATACATCAAACACAAAAGAGTTGATGATGAATGAAAGGAGAAGAATCAAGTCAAGAAACTACGGCCTTTCTGGAAAAAAATCTAGGAATGCCATTATGTCTTTAATTCTTGTAAAGAATCCAGACTGCATTATCAATAAAAGAACTACTTGTGGGTAGCAAAACTAAATGAATATGAAACACACCGTTTAGCTATATATATATATATATATATATATATATATATATGTGTGTGTGTGTGTGTGTGTGTGTGTGTGTGTGTGTTAATTATTTATTTTAATTATTTTCACATCGATTATATATGTGAAGTAACAAAAAGAATAAAACGACAAGAAGCAAAATAATTTTTTTTAGCCGACGCGTTTCGTCCACTGATGAACTTTATCAAGGCAAATGCCTGTCAGTTGACCAAACACGTAGTTGTCTTTTTATTCATATGCACACACACACACACACACATATATATATATATATATATATATATATATATATATATAGCTCTTCTTAAAGATAATTTTGATGTTTGTTCAATTGTTCATATTTGGGGAAGATAGTGGGTCCAATCGAGTATATATATTTGTATATAGCACTTTTCACAGACGCTAAACTCTGATCCTCTCGATAGTGTGAGGAGCGACACTTCGATCCGAGGCAGTAGTGCCCATCCATAAGTAAATATACCCGTCACTTAATTTATATTCATTATAATCAATAAATAATAATAATAATAATAATAATAATGTCGCTTCAGAAATTACTGCTTTTCTACGCGAGACTTATTTAAACAAAAAACAATGAAATATATCTTATTCTTAATCTGTTTGATGGCCATTGCTTACGATCGAATCCAATCGATTCTTTCTGAAACTGTTATTAACGTTATTTGAATTTATTCAATGAATTATTGTCAGTTATTTTTTATTTTTATTTGAATTTCTTCCATCTTATTTATTTTGCTTTTTATCGCAACTCTCAGATCGTCATCTATGATCGTGTATAGGATGTAAAGAGTAAAGATCCGGCGAGATTCGAACTTGTAACCTTTCTCCTGGCTTTATAGATTTTATTCTTTATTTTCTGCAAACGCCAGATACGCACAACTTTTTTTATATACACTAGTAATATTATTTTAAATTCACTATGACATAAAACACTGCCATTTTTTTACTGTTTTTTCGTCATCTTTCTGTTGCTTTTTATCACAACTATCAGACAATCATTCCGAAATCGTTAGCAAACAGAAGAGAAATGTTTCAAACAAAAGATAAAAGAGCAAAATTCTAGTCAATAACTTCCTGTATTTTTATATTCATACCAGATGTCACCCCGCAATTATCCTCAACACCATTGTCAATATCATTGCAGACCCACTACCGACTGAACAGTTTCAATTGTTCCGCGAACCTCTGATTATTCACTCCTCCAATGCTCACAGCAATAATAATGGCGGCCAGAACTGGCGCTTAGGTTCAAAGAAAACCTCTTCATTACTATAATGCGTTTCTCATTATTCTCTTTTCAGCAACGCCATCATCGAGATGATTCTAACACGTGCACTAATTTTCAGCTATTCTATTCTTTTTCCTAATATTTTCTGGGTCGATTCCAATGATTTCATAACGACTGGTATTACTGTTACCTTTAATTATTTTTATTATTAGCTTGAGATCTTAACCGACTCTTAGATGATTCGGACAATTTAGAGTCACAACAAGATGTTCCAAATAGCGCTGCCACCTGCGCATTCCCAACGATGCCAGGTATCCCCAAGTCGTTTTGAGAGGAAGAAACATTCTTGGAGATAGTCCAGAGTGTGTCAACCACAAAAGGGAAAACTTGAGCTCTAGTTTTGTACATTTCTACGATTACCCTCTCAAGTTTTGGTCTCTCTGGATTCTCGCCTTCTACGCCTTCAAAAGTCTATCAGGATCACTTCATAACAGCTTTTGCATACAAGTATGATGTCAGGTCAGGGCGATTATTATTATTATTATTATTATTATTATTTTATAATAATTATTTCTAATTATTTTAATAATTGTATGATATTTAGTTGTAATATTTTATTACTTTATTATCTTTAGTCGACAAACATGTTTGTTTAATTGTCCATAAACCTGTATTTTATTTAGTAATAACGACAGATTAGCGTTTGCTTAACAAGCAATTATCTCGCAATCTACTAACGAGACAATCCATTTTCTCATGTGCTTCCGCAATATCTGATGTTTACCTGTATGCAATCAAGTAAATCTAAATATGACCACAATAACTAATTCGGAATTATTGAACTTATTGAATGATTCATTCTGCTTGCATGATTTTTGTTTTGGAAAGTTTTTTCTTCTTTCTTTCTTTTTTTTTTTTTTTTTTGTTGTCTTGTAACTTTAATTTTTGCCTCTTACGTTTGAATGAAGGCGTTTCTGATTCAAGGGCAATAAGTT